GTCATCTGCATATTCAAATACATGCAAACAAGAAATTATTCGGGTCCTGTCATTTGCATTTATTTGAATATGTAAATTAGCGATGGTTCCTTGGAAGAAGCTGCAGTCATTTACGTATTTGAACTTATGCAAAGGAAGACCACAGCTCATTTACATATTCATTCAAATTTATGTGGTGGGGACAGTCTACACAATTTGAAGATGCAAATCAATCGCAGTCTTTTAAGAGACTGTTCCTAGCAAGAATTTACATGTGTAAATTATACTTAATAGATTTATAGCTATAAGTAATTTTTATATATAATACTTATATATGCTTATGTTATCCACATAAACATATGTAAATGAATTAGTCTTCTGAGTCTCTTCCTTAGAATACTCCTTTAGCTCACGTAGCAGCTTTTGAATATGTAAATGTTACTCCCACCCACTTAATTTAAATATATCACTTTCTCATAGGTCATTTGCATTTTCAAGTTTATGCAAAAGGAGGATACTAGTGTATTCTCGTATTCTCCACATAAATTTGAATATTTGAATTTGAGCTATGTCTCCCAGAGCTTGTCTTTAAGAAGGGACTATTTAGTCTCCTCTTCCTTTTCCTAAATAGGTAAAGGTAAAGGTAAAGGCCCTCCCGTTGATCGTCGATTTGCTCGAGCGGGCCCAGTAACGTCTCCATTGGAGACTTTGTTGTTACTGTGTCTGGCATATTGAATACTCTCGGTAGCTTGCCAGGCTCTCCGAGAGGGGCGGAGGAATTGAACTCGGGCCGGCCGCTTGTAAGGCGAACGCCCTACCCGCTGTGCTATCGGATGTGAGGGCGATCTGGCCAAATATGCACGTGAACTTTTAGTCTTCTTTGAGAGAAGACACAGATACACACAGACATCTTTTGAGCTGGTAACAGTCCCAACGGGAGCCTGGCCTTGAACTCAACCCCTACCTGCTTGCAAGACCCAACACTCAACCAACAGGGCTATTCATTCCCTATGTCCCCTGCTCCCAAAAGCTCCTTAAGGGTACTGAACCCCCACTCAAGTGCTGCACTCATTCTTCATTGAGAGAACCCATCTTTTCTCCTTTGAGACCTCTGTTGACTGCCTACTCACAGGCCTCATCAGTAATTCCAGGGAGGCCTTCTTGATCGGTTACTTCCCAAATATGCCGGGTCTGTTTCTGCGCCCACAGACAACTCTCCACAGCTCTTGTGCTAAGGCTCGCTGGCGAAGGACCTGGTAACACTAGGAGACCCAAAGACAGTTAAGTGGGAAGGTCATAGGTAACTCTGGGGCAGCCCCTAATCGGCCAGCAGATACCCCAGTACTGCTTATCTGGATACAATGCCCCCCTTTGCCTTCCCCAACCAGTGTCTGTTAAGGTTTCACGCATGACTCTTGACCTTTCAGCTCCCCTCTCTGCCCCCCGTCCTGTGCTTCCTCATCTTCCTTCTCCCTTTGTCGTCCTCTTCCTCCTTATGCTTCTAGACTCCAGGGGTCCTGAACAGGATCCGAGTAAGGCAACTGAGTTTATCAGTGTTGAGAGATGTGAAGGGGATACGGGAGAGAGGGTTTTAGGGCCCTGGCCTGGAAAGCACACATGAAGCCACTGGGGCGGGGGCCGGGGCGTGGGCTGGTGAGGAACATCAGACATGCCTCAGTGCCGGAAATGGTCCCACCTTTCCAGGCAGCGAGAAGCAGCAGAGCCTGTGCTCACACCTGGCGGGAACCCATCTGCTGCAGAGACCTGCTGCCAGCCCCCCGCCACGAAAGGACTCTCCGAGGGGTCTGGGGTCAAGCTGGAAAGCGGCGTGGCATACGATGCGGCCAGCTTACTGACAGGCTCTCCCTCCCTGAGCCAACCACGGAGGTCCCCATCCCTGCCATTTGTGACGGGCACGGTCCTGCAGAGGGCAGCTGTGGGAGGCCGAAAGGAGAGGCAGATGGATTCTAAAGTCTCAAGAAAGACCTTGAAATAGCCTAAGGTGTGAAAATTAAGCTAGAGGTGCAGAGGCAGCGTGAATGCCCTGAGGATTTGGGTGGCACAAGAGGACTTGGCCCATAGTAGGCTGGGAGGGGCCGAAGAAACGAATCATTTCACAGGAAACAATGCTGGGAGCCAGTGGGGGTCAGGGTGCGCTTACAGTTCCCACCATCCTCATTAGAATAGCACAGGACATGGGCTGGCTGGAGACCCAGCACGGGGTGGGGGGTGGGGTTGGGGGGAAGGCGTCTGCCTTGGCATGCAGGCCAAGCGCAGTTCACTCCTGAGCCAGAAGCCCCGAGCGAATCTGGGTGTGGGCTCCTGCCACTGAGATGGCCCAGTGGGCTGGAAAGCATGCAGAAGGCCTAGTTCTGTCCTGGGCTTGTTCGAAGTGACCCTAGCCTCACTGAGCGGGGCACTGAAACCAGAGAAATAAGGACAAATTGAGGAAAATTATAATCTTGCTATGTGAGCCTTTTGGTGGTGCTGGTAGGGTCAAGCCCCGGGGCTGTACGAATACCAGGGAGGCAGGAACCTTGCCAGGCAGAGCGGGGAGGCCTGTGCAGGCAGTGAGAGGCCCCCCTGAGGCCAGCCCCCAGTGCCACCTCACCCCACAGCTGGTAGCATGGAAGAGACTAGAGAATGCCCTTAGACCTGCTGAGGGTGGACAGTGGGGGGGGGGGGTGCACAGGTCAGGGCGATGAGCTTTTTTTTTTTCTTTGCTTTTTGGGTCAGACCTGGCGATGCACAGGGGTTACTCCTGGCTCATGCACTCAGGAATTATTCCTGGCGGTGCTCGGGGGACCATATGGGATGCTGGGAATCGAACCTGGGTTGGCCGCGTGCAAGGCAAACACCCTACCCGCTGTGCTATTGCTCCAGCCCCCACGGTGAGCATTTTTACATGTACCTGTTGGCCAGCCGTTGGTCTTCCTCAGAGAAATGTCTGTTCATTTCCTCTCTGCATTTTTTTTAAAATGGGGATTTTGAGGGTTTTTTTTTGGTTGATCTTTGTGAGTACTTTACAGATCTGTAGCAATACTGTGATTATACTTTCTGAAAGAACAAATGTTTGATGTTAAAATTTAAATGTGTCATATAAACATCAAAGCTTTACAAAAAAAGGGCATCTTAGTCTTTAAGGAAATTCTAGGAGAAGCACAATTATTTTGACTCACTGTTATCAGTTGAATGAGAAAATACGGTGTCACAGGGTGATTACCTTAGAAGTACATTCTGAAACTTTTTTCTATTGCGGTGGGGGCTGGAAGGCCTGAAGTCAGTTTTCTCCCTTGCAAACGTTTAAACACCTCAAGCATTGTAGAAAGTTGAGTATCTTTTCCTCCATATGGAAGCAGGCAGTCACAGTGATGGGGAAGGCTCTTCCCTGCCAACACACCTACCCAAACCCCTTCCCTTCTCGTACAACACGAGCCCAGCACCGCAAGCATTTGTTGGGTTTGTTTTGGCTTGGTTTTTGGGTAACCCCAGTGGTGCTCAGGATTTACTCCTGACTGCACTCAGCGATGACTTCTGGTGGGACTTGGGGGATCACATCAGGTCTGGGGATTGAGCCTGGGTTGGCTATGGGCAAGGCAACTGCCCTACCCGCTGTGATCCACATGCTATTCTCATTAGAACGAGGGAGGAAACAGAAGACATCTAAGGAGTAAACCCTTGAGACAACGCAACAGGCAAACAAATCTCGCCTTTATCTTAGACTTGACTTTCTCAGTCGTGGCCACTGGACTCCAAAGTCGCAACATGGGGCTAGTAGAGGGGCTTGGGTGGCACAGCACCAGGCAGGACTGTTGAGTGTGGTTCCGAGAACAACTAACAACCTGACACCATCGAGCACGAGTGTCCCAGTGAGGCTTGTGACTTTTTTTTTGCTTTTTGGGTCACACCCGGCGATGCTCAGGGGTTACTCCTGGCGGTGCTCAGGGGACCATATGGGATGCTGGGAATTGAACCTGGGCCGGCCGCGTGCAAGGCAAATGCCCTACCTGCTGTGCTATCGCTCCAGCCCCCAAGGCCTGTGACTCTCGAAGCGTTCGTGAGCTCCAACTTTCAAAAACCATCCCCGTTCGTGTGAGAAAGAGCATGGGAGCAGGATGAGAACCCGCCTCCTCCCAGGCCCCATGTTAGGGAAGTCTGCGAAGACGGAAAATGACGTCACTTTTGGGAAAGATGGTTCCCTAAAAATAAATGAGTGCAAAATACTTTACAAGAAATTAACTATTTCAGAAGTGTCTTTTCCTAGATGGGAAATACCAACAGATGTAACCTATAAAACCCACACAGCTATTTTGTTCTGAGTTGGTCTATTTTGCATGAGAATCTGGGCTGCCCACAGCCATCAACCGCAGCGTCACCACAGCTCACCAGACAGACATACTTTTTACTCTCTCTCTCTCTCGCTCTCTCTCTCCCCCTCCCCCCCCCACACTCCCTCCCTTTTGGGGAACAGCTGATGCCAGACTTCTCACAAACAGCAAAGCAGAACTCTGCACGATCTGTCTCTCTTCCCCTGGGCCCCGAGAGACAGCTGGCTTGTGGCTTCAGTGCATCCTCACCAGCCACATGGCCTGGGGGCTGCCGAGGCCAGTGTTAGCCAAGGTCCGCCCCACGCGGGACGCTGAGTGCCACGTGTCAGAAAGACATCACTGCCTCCAACTCCCAAACCGCAACACAGTTCTCCCCCAGCACCGAGGGGCAAGAGCAGCCTTACCTAGGGGGTGAACACCCTGCCACTAACCAGGGACCGGGCTGCGGGTAGCACTCTGCTCTTCTGGGCCACAGTGACACTCACCGGGGCTGCGAAGACTCAGGGCGTGTGTGAGGAGTCTGGGTGCGGTGACACCGCCGGAAGCCGCGTCTGTTTTGGGGTCGGACCGTCGTTCGCTCTCTTCTGTCGCGACGGGCACAAAATTCACAAGGCAGCTCAGACCATCAGAGAAAGCATTTATTACCACAGCAGAGTCAGGCACCGCCAGAGCAACTTGGCAGCCTGGGGACACGTGCCGAGGGACAGGGCGGCAGGCAAGCGTCCCATGAACTGAATCCCGTCGGAGCATCTCCCAGCCGGCAGGGCTGCGGGGGCCCGGGGGACTCCGGCTGGGCGAAAGGTGCTCCCCGGACAGAACAGGGAGGTCACGGGGACGACGGCACAGACACCACCTTGAAGGGAAATCAATGAGGCTCGTGACATCGGGAGGCCTGGCCACCCTCCCCACCCAGGCCACCGGGGGCCCGGGGCTCTGCTGGGCGGCCGCTGGAGAGGACGCTTGGGCAAGGGCACACGAGCAGGGCCTGTCCCCTGGCACACAGCGAGCAGCACGCAGCTTCCAAGCCCGCTTTGGGCGCTACCGTCGCCTCTGCTATCTGTTATTATTAGGATTCTGAACAAAATTGATGGAGTAGGAACCCGTGGAGGAATCCTGTTTGATCTGGAAATTTTCTGTGGAGAGTCCAAAGGGCCGGAGAACCAAGTTCCCGAGATCTTTCAGCTTACCTGCAAGGGAAAGGCAGAGACTCAGACACGGGGGCGAGGGAACGGCCCAGCTCACCTCACCCCGCAGGCAGTGACGGGCGCCCCGAGCTGCTCAGCTGGGGACGAGCCAGTGAGCGGGAGGGACAGAGGTCCCGCCACACCTGTCCTCTGACTCAGTTGCAAGTTCAGGCCGGCCTGCTAGGGTGCTACTCAGTCTGTACCCGCCTGTCCCATCCTCCAGAGAGCATCAGACTCTGTGTGCAAGAGCCATGCTCCTGGACGAGGGGGCCTGTCCCCACCCAGCACCTCGGCCGTGTTGCTCAGCCTCTGCCGGGCCCCGACCCACAGCCACAGACGCACACCCCAATGCCTGCACGCACGGGGCAGGGTCTCCGGGGGTCCGCGGGCCATGGGACAGCAGTCATGCTTGGGAAGTCTTGGCCAGTCTCACTCTTAACTGTTCTTATTGTTCTTGCAGGTCTGTTTCTCAGGAGACTGGGGGGCAGGGGAAGAACCCCCCAACTGCCAGAGATGCAGGTTCCTTCCTACTCTGAACACAGTCCCAGGTAAAGAACTTCAGGATGGGGGGTGGAGGGAGGGGCAGGAGCGACGGGCGCTTGCCTTGCATGTGGCCGACCTGGGTTCAATACCCGACACCCGACAGTACCCACAAACCCACCAGGAGCAACCCCTGAGCAGAGCCAGGAGTGATCGGAACCCAAACCCCTCCAAGACGCTTGGCCTGTCCATGCCAAACGCCCCAGGGAAAGACCTTCATCCTCAGTCTGAGCCCACAGCTCGCCGAGTCCCGAGGGGCGCTGGCCAAGGACTGCCCTGCTGGTCCCCAACCAGTCTGGAAATCGGGGCACTCGAGGGACGCAGCGACGACGGCTGACCTGCTGGTCAGAGGAGGTCACAGCACAGACAGGACAGGGCCTCCCCGGAGTGGGAGGACATGGTGAAGACACCATGAACGTCACCTGGCGCGGGAGGGAGGGAGCCGGGGGCCTGCATGGGGCAGAGGCCGCGGCACAGCCCTGCCCAGGTCTCTCTCCCACCTATTTCCCCTCAATAAACACCCACAACTTCTAATCCGATCTTGGCTCCCTTCACTCAGCCCCCTGCAGGCCATAGGCAAGGATAGGGGGGCGCGCATGAGGGGGCCGTAGGCACGCAGGCCATGGTGCGGGCGACAGCAAACTCCCGTGGAGCACCGAGAACAGCATGAGGGGAGGGAAGGGCGCAGGGAGCCACAGAGCTGCCGTAGGCGGGGGGCTTGGGCGGGAGGGGTGGGCACAGGCTGGCAGGGGTAGGGGGAGCGGTCGGGGACTCTGCCTTGTGCCCTGTGGGCCCCTTGTCCCTTCAAGCACACAGGACTGTGTGGGTGCAAAGGGCGGCCAGGCTGGCAGTTCCCACGCCTTCAGGGAATGGGGGCTGCCCCGGTCCCTGCGGGGGTTGCGGGGCAGAGCTCCCCTACTACTTGGCAGGACATCGAGGCTCCGAGGAAACAGACACAAGCCAGTCAAAGTCACCGAAACCTAAACCGAGACTCATTGTGTCAAAAAATCAGGCAAGTCACTAAATGCCAATGACAAACGCTCTGGAGCAACTCTGTGCACCTTGTGCTGCCAGACCAGGAGCAAAGCCATGAACCCAGGGAAAGCAGCGGCCGCACATGGGCCACGGGGGAGCACGTACCTCTTGGCTCCCTGCACCTGGCCACGGTCCCACTGCCAACAGTAGGAGGAAGCCCAGAGCCCAGGCGAGGGCCGTGGGGCAGGTGACAGTCTTTGGGGCCGTCGGGGGTATCGCCTCACCTGGGAAGCACCACCGTCACCATCCTACTCACGGGGAGCGGAGCCTGGCCACCACCGGCAGATCTGCCAAACAAGCGTCTAGGCCTGACGGAGGCCCTTGCAGAAAGAAGCACCGAGACACGAAGATCTCAAAGTAAGAGAAAGAGAGGAGACGGAGGCACGCCAGGCCGGTGCTTGGAACCGATTCCAGGGAGACTCCTTGGCACCGTTCTGGATGGCCTCCAACAGGGACTCAGGACAATGCCCCAGAAAAACACACGCCAAGTCCCCTACAAGCCATCGGCAGCAGGAATCCAGCCTAACGCAGACCCCCTTTCTTTTTGGAGTGGGGCCACACTTGGCGGTGCTCAAGGCACTGTACGGGGTGTCGGGGTTTGAACCCAGGCTTGCTGAGTGCAAGTATCCTACCCGCAGTACTCTGTCTCCAGCCCCGGGAAAGGGTTTTTTTTTTTTTTTGCTTTTTGGGTCACACCCGGCAATGCACAGGGTTTACTCCTGGCTTTGCACTCAGGAATTACTCCTGGCACCTCACAGGGGACCATATGGGATGCTGGGAATCGAACCCGGGTCGGCCGCTTGCAAGGCAAATGCCCTACCCATTGTTTTTAAAAAGAGAAACTGAGGGAGGGTCCAGAACCCGGTCAGGTATGACGCAGCTCTCCATGTGGTCTGCACCTGCCCGGCCGGCTGGGTGAATGGCCGAGTCCAGTAACCCGACCAGCTGGGCAAGCCTTTGGGACGCTGGTTCTAACCGCAGCCTTGGAGGCAAGGTCCAATCTACAGGAAATCATGTCCCCTCAGGTCCCGGGGACTGTGACGTGCTCAGTGAGCTTCGTGGGGTCTCGGGCAGGGGGCAGAGCAGGCCGAGTGGGCTCTGGCAGAGAAGCAACAACCTCCTCCACATTTCTGGTCTCCCGTACCCTCAGTACCATTTCCGGACTGGCAGCGCCCTTGGTTCTGCAGAGTTCGGCCTCACAGTGACTGTGGCTGGGACGGAACGGATGCTCACTGTTCACACATGTGAAGCCCTGGGTTCAAGCGTTGGCACCACCAGAAAGACAAAACCCAAGCCCAAGCTCATGTGACAAAATGCAACTGAAATTTGTCACCCGAAACGGAGGCCGGTAGCATTGCCACTTGGGCGGGACTAGTTGGTTTCCAAAGGCAGCAAGTTTTCCAAGAGAAGGAGCAAGATCAAAGTAGTTTGGCGGCCCCACCCCGGGTGGGTGCATGCAAGGCAGCCGCCCACCTTGCTGTGCTGTCACATCTTCTGTCTACCACAATGGCCGCCCCTGGAGTCAAAAGCGGCGCCCAGGGCCCAAGTCCGCGAGGGCAGGGCTGCCACTGAGCACAGCCCCTGGTGGGAGGGCGCACCCACGCCCATGCCGGCGGGAGGGAGGCAGGGGAAGGAAGCACACGTACCCAGCATCTCCTCCTTCAGCCGCTCATTCCGTTCTTCGATTTGCCGAGGCAATCTCTGAGGGAGGAAGGACACACGGGTGGGTGAAACGTCCCTCGACCGGAGAGTGCAGTCAGTGAGGGCCCTGCTGTCCTGGTGTGATGGGCGGAGACCCGGCAGTGCATCTCCTCGGTGACACCGCCCGCGCCGGCCCGAACATGGCCAGCACTGCCGTGCGGGAAGCCTGAGAGAGGTGCTGACAGGGCCATCTGGGGTCATGTGCTGCTCTGGGGCCGGGCACCGAACTCGGGGACGGGTGGAACGACACTCTCCAGGAAGCAAAATCCCTAGCACATACATCGTTCCTGATTCTCCTTGTGTTTGAGTCCCTTTTTTGGGGGGTCAGTTTTTGTTTGGGGGCCACGCCCGGCAGGGCTCAGGGCTTACTCCTGGCTCAGTGCTCAGGGATCACTCATGGCAGTGCTGGAATGGAGCCCGGCACCCACTGTACAATCTCTGCAGCCCCTGGAGTTCATTTTAAAGGGGTACAAGACAGTAGCTACCTTATAGCTGAAATAAAAATAATCAGAAAAAAATAGTGCAAATACAAGAGTAAGAGTCATTTTTAAGAAAGCTGAGGTTATATGTGGGTACACGCAACTAGACAGGCACACGACAGTTACTAAAAAATGGTGACTGAATACCAAAAAGGGCGGACAGAAGCCAGGAGTTGGCTAGCCCACAGTGCCAAGGCACAGCTCGAACGAGCCACAGAGCAGAGGCCTCAAAGGCCCGCAGTGAAGGGAAAGGGCTTCAGATGCCGCCGCAGAGGGCAGAGGCCCGGGTGCCTGGTCTGGGGGTGTCTGTGGGCACCTCCGCCGAGTCCGAGCTCCTGGGATTTGCTCCTCACAGCCCGCAAAGGCTCTTACCATGCAGGCCTCTCTGGCTTGGGCCACTGAGGGGTCCTTCTCGAGCACGGACTTGTAGTCTTCCAGCGCCTCATCGAGCTTGTCGGCTTTCTCATATAACTCTGCTCGCCTCAGGATTGCTCTAATGTAGCTGGGGTTTAACTGGATGGCTACGGAGAGAAGACACCCCCAGGTCACAAGGAGAAAGGGTCCACGCGCCTTCAGCTTCCGGGGGTCCAGGGTCCCTGCCACCCAGGGGGCCCCAGGCAGAGTCCTTTGCCAGGGTCTGCATGGGTGCCTGGCACCTTTCCCTGTGAAGACCACGGGGTTTCTGGAGACGCCCTCGGTCCTGAGTTCAAGACGGTTGCAGTGGCCTAAGGGAGAAACGCCCAAAGGAAGCCATGGGAGCAGAAGGCGGCTCTGCATGTCCGCAAGCCCTTCAATGTGGGCTAGAGAAAGAGTCCCGCAGGGGCAGGGGGCTGGGGTCAGAAGGAGGTTCACTCAAGGAACCCCACCCGGCATGCAGCACACATTCTCTATCAGCGTCACAAGTATTTAGAAAATGGACTCCAGACACTTCCACCTGCTTCTGATGATGCAAATAAGGGGCTTTTCCCCAGGGTTATTTCATAGAATTTTTTTTTTTGGTGGGGTTGGGGGGGTAGGGGCTTGGGGCCACCATGGTGGTGCTCAGTACTGGGCATGGAATCAGAGTTGGGCTGAAGCAGCCGCTTGCAAGCAGCACACCACTCCAGCATGAATCTCCACCCCTCATTCACAGAAAGAATGTGCTTATGCTGTGGCAAGGCTGAAAAATCCTCACGTGGAGGAAGCAATAAATACTGTTCCACTTGATGGGCGGCAACGAGCTCTAATACGACCTTGGAAATAAATGGCCGCGGTTGCTGCCAAGGTTGACTGAATGAATGGGTGTGCACTGGGATGAGGGAGCATGGACCTTTTATTACAAAGAAGCACTCCCCCCACCCCACCCTCAAAGCATCTCATCCATGGGGACAATGCACACATCTGCTCGGTTACACACACAGTTTCTGGGTATTGCAACCAGAAAACGCCCTCCTCCTGCCTGCCTTTCCTGAGTTCCTGGCCAGCGCTGGACAGGAACTCCACCCTGACTTTCTGGCACATTCTCCCCATCGCTCAGAGAGAACGCAGCTCCGAAAATCAGCAGATGTTCCTGGTGGGAGCTCACACGAAGCAAAGTCAAGCACCCCCTCCCCAACGGAACAGTACATCCAGAATGAGATCAGACAGGATTTACTAGAATGGAACGTGGCGAGTTTCACTCACATACGATAAAGAGAGCCGAGATGGGGAGGAAGTTAATTTAAAGCTAAAAACAGTAACTCACGCTTAGTATGAGACTGGGACTAGATATTAGATTCTTTTTAGCTCTATGTTCGCAGAGAAACTATCACCCAGAGAGGACAGAAAATAAATAAATAAATAAACAAACGGTGATTAGCCTGAATCATCCCTGGGAGTAGGAGTAGAAGGCAGTAGGACGTGAAGCAAGCGATTACACAAGCTCCCTTCAAAGGCCGGTTAGGAAAGCAAAATAGGTATCTGGCCTATCAAGAAATTATTATCACTGTTCTATCTTGGTTTTGCTCTGCTGCATTTGTTTTTTGGGGCGGGGGATTTTCTCTTGAGTGCCAGGTGCTGAACCTGATCTTCACGCATGTGACGCATGTGCTCAGTCCAGTTATCTGCTCCAAACCCATCCAGAAATTGGTGTTAGGAGCTTCGCGGGCCACGCCCCGCATGGCTCAGAGCTTCCTTCTGACAGGGCTCACGGGAACTCTGTGTGTGTGTGTGTGGTGCTGGGGACGGAACCCAGGCCGGTGTCTGCAAGACAAGCACCCTATCTGCCGTACTACCACTTTGACCCCAATCAAGAAATTTCTGACAGGGGTCAGAGAGAGTACAACAGGCAGGGCACAGGTTCAATCTCTGGCACCCCTGAGCACTGCCAGGAGTAACCCCTGAACACCAGGAGGTGTGGCCCCAACCCCCCCTCCCCCAAAAGGAAAATCATCAGGACACCAGAGAAAGGAAACTCTGTCCTAAGAGTTTCCATGGCCAAGGCAGCCTTGATCTTTCTTCACATCTTTACCAACAGGGAAAACAATGGAACTGTGCGTTCAGAGCCACGTTCGTACTCCAATGATCAGTGTCTACGGCTACCACCACCAGGAAGGGCAGAGCAGAGAGAGGCTGCTTTAATGGCAAAGACCAAAGGGAACCCACCTGACCCACACACCGGCCCAGCTCTGGAGCTAATTGCATAAACATCACCCAAAAGCTGTACCTTTGCTGCAGTCACTGATGGCCGCCTCTTTCTTGTCCTAAAAAGAAAGAGAGCATTACCAGGTGTCGATACAGCATCAAAAGATGTTCTATCTTAATGGCCCAGGGCTCAAAGACATGAAACTCTCCAATAATAATTGCTTCTCTTCAAAGAAATCTCATGGAAATACACAGGTCTTCCAAGCTAAAATGCACACTATGACAAAGCTCTGACTTAAAGGCCCCCTGGAAACAAATTACTCAAGCTTCCTTCCAAAGTGCCCAGAAAATCGATCTAACTTAGCAGAATTCCATACATCTAAGAGCCTACTTTTTATACATATGTATTTTGGGGGGGAGGGGGGGATGGCCCTGAAATGGTGCTCAGGGGGAGCTGTGCAGTGCGAGAGATCAAACTGGGGACTAACTGGTGACGTCATGATGTCAGGTCTGTGCTCCCATCCTGAGGGGTCCCCAGGACCACAGCCAAGTGCCTGCTCTTGGCATCCCCCCGAGTCAGTGGAGGTGGGCATTACACAAAGTGTGGTGCACGGTGCCAGGGGTCAACCCTGGGTCTCCTGCATGCGAAGCACAGACCTGAGCCCTCCGAGCCAGATCTTACATAGTCAGAAGTTGACAAGGACAACTGGAACACACTGGCAGACTTGCGCCTCCACACAGGGAAACAGGCACGAACTGCCCTTTGGAGCTTGCCCCCAGGTGAAAGACAAGTAGCCCACATTTTCCCAACTCAGCTGTGAGTCGCTCGCCCGGGCCCACCCGAGCACGACCAGTCACTGGGAATCTGTGATGAGAGAGAAGTCAGATGCAGGGCGACTCATGTGCTCTGACATGGAAAGTCTTCTCATGCCCATGCATGCTGAGGCTCCCAGGGTTAGAATGCTGCAGGATGTTTGGGCTGGAGTGACAGCACAGCGGGGAGGGCAGGGCGCCTGCCTTGCATGTAGCCGGCCCGGGTCAATCCCAGGCGTCCCAGAGGGTTCTTGGACCACCACCAGGAATATGTTCCTCCTGAACGCAGAACCAAGAGTAACTGAGCACTGCCGGGTGTGACCCAAAACCAAAAGCCAAAAACCCCCAAATATGGCAAGATCTAGTTGAGAAACACATATGAAAGACCAAAATTTCCCAGCTAGGTGTAAAACCGTTAGTGTATGTTGTAAATTCTGATCAAGGATAGGATACAGTAATCAGTAATGCTTTATATAAACTTAAAACTACTTTGTTCCTGTAGCACTGTTCTCCTGTTGTTCATCGATTTGCTTGAGCGGGTCCAGTAATATCTCCGTTGTGAGACTTGTTGTTACTGTGTTTGGCATATTGAATACGTCACGGGGAGCTTGCCAGGCTTTGCTGTTCAGGTGAGATACTCTCAGTAGCTTGCTGGGCTCTCCGAGAGGGGCGGAGGAATCGAACTCGGGTTGGCCTGGTTGGCCGCATGCAAGGCCCTACCCACTGTGCTATTGATTTTGTTTCTAACAAAAAAAATTTCTATATTCTAGAATTATTTCTTCTCTCATGCTGTAAGAATCACTATAAAATTACTTCACTTTAGAGATGAATCCAATAGTACACAGATTTGGGCTTAAAAGACAACCCTTTCCATCTGTACCATATTCACGGATACTTCTCACCCCTTTCCAAGCCTGGCCCCACACACGGCGTTTGGCAGGAGAATTTCAGGCAACATGGAAAGCAAAGCTGAGACAGTGTCCTGGCAGAAACTGGCCACCCAGAAGCTTGACCCACCCAAGCCCCAAGCTCGACCTCACTTTGTGAATGGTTACAGGCATGGACACTTCGGAAAGAGCAGTTACAATTTAAACAAGTGGTATTATTATTGGGCCTGCGGCTCCACAGGTGATGCTCAGGAAGCTGTATGTGGAGGTGGAACTGGGCCCGATGGGGTACAGACGAGCGCCTTAAGTCCAGGACGGTATCTTAAGAGCTATCTCCAGCCCACAAGTGCTCTTCTCTCCCACAAGACGCCTACTCCAATCCAACAAAACTTGTTCTGTGGATTATACAGGCATAGTGGAGCAGACAGGGAGATGTTCACTCGAAGGGCTGAAACACATGCCCTGTGTGGGCGTGGTCCCAAGTCTAGCTCCTGGTACCACCAGGTCCCCCAACACCACTGGACACAGCCCTAGTATCCTCTGGATGGCCCTGACTGCCACCAGCACCTCTGGATCCGGCACCCCACTGCCAGGCCCAAACACGGAACCATCCACGCTGCAGAGCTGGGCCAAGATATTTGGAAGTGGTCCCCAGACGCCATGAACTATTGGGAGGCCACTCCCACTCAAAAACATGAGGAACACAGGGGCTGGAACAACAGCACACCAGGTGGGGCATTTGCCCTGCATGCGGCAGACCCAGGTTCGATTCCCAGCATCCCATATGGTCCCCCGAGCACCGCCAGGAGTAATTCCTGAGTGTGGAGCCAGGAGGAACCCCTGTGCATCGCTGGTGTGACCCAGAAAGAAAAACAACAAGAAACCCATGAGGAACACCAGACAAAAACACAACTGATTAAGCTTTTATTTTTCAATTGCTCTTGTACCAGTGCTGTACTCACTGGTACTCCAGGCGTGCTGGAGATGTTAGGAATGCAACCGAGGTATCTGTCTGCAAAGCATCTGCTCTAGCCCTCTGAGCCATCACTCTGGCCCCACCAAACTTAACTCAATACCCACATGGTAGAGGGCTGGAGCGACAGTGACTCCAGAGGGCTGGAGTACAGTGAGGAGGGCACTGGCCTTGCACGTGACCAACCCAGAATTGATCCAGGCATCCCATAGGGTCCCCAGAGCGCCGCCAGGAATCACTCCTGAGCGCAGAGCCAGGAGTAAGCCCTGTGCATCGCCAGGCATGGCAAAACAGAAATACCCAGGTGGTAGGAAGCAAATGTAGATGCTAGACACACGCCACCCCCACTGCCACCCCCAGCCCTCACACCTCCAGGAGCCCGATAGCCTGGCTGTCCCGACCTCCACATCACAGGCCCCGCTGCCGTGCATGTTCCACACGCGCAGAGAGACCAGCCGTGAGGGACGAGCATCCCCCGGACCAGAGTCCCGGTGGGTGGCTGCCAGTCTCCCGGCGCCTGCAGCTCACATTCTGGAGACCAGAAATAGCCGCGGTCACTATTCTAGGACACGCACTACTTGGCCCTCGGCTTTGCTGACCTGCCCTAGTTTGGAGGCCACGATGCCAGGCTTTGCTCTGTGAGAGAAGAGTCCCCGGGGACGAGAACGAGAACAGAACGCTGACTCACTTCCTCAGATACTTCTCAGTCCGCTCTGTGCCCTCTCTGTCCCGGGACGAACTGGGGCGGCAGCTTTAAGCCGCCTGAGGTTTCTTCTGGAGACGCCTGTCGGGAGCGGGGCTGCAAAGCCGTACCTGTTTCATTCTGGCGGCAGCACGATTGGAGAACAGGATGGACCTCTCTTGCTGGAAGCAGCAGGGGCATGTCTGGAGGGCTTGGCTGTAAGAATTCTCAGCTTCTGAGTAATCTGAGGATGGAGGAGATAGAGGTCACGGGTTTGTTTGCCGTTGGGGGGCACACCTAGTAGTGTCCCGGGGCTCGAGAATGACAGGGTCTGCACCCGGGACCCCCTGCATGCAGAGCGTATGTCCACTCTGCTGAGCTGTCTTTCTCTCTCTCTCTCTGTGGAATCCTGCAGTGCCCCACAGGGTCTGTGTGTCCCCGCCTGGCCCACTCAGGGTGATGGTTTGAGCAGCACCCACTAGGTAGGTGTCAATTCTGCCAATTTCGTAAGATGAGAGAATTGCACGGACAAAAGAGACTCAAGTTTAGAACTCAAAGCCTGGGATTAAAAAAAAAAAAACTCTGGGGCTAGAGAGAGAATACAGCTGGTAAGGCACATGCCTTGCACACAGACAGGTTCCTGGCATAGCATACGGTGATCCCTGAGCAAGCAGGAGTAAGCCCTGCTGGGTGCGACACCCCCCCAAATAGCAAACAAGTACAAAAACTTAAAACTAGAGAAATGGTTTTAAGTTTATAGGTTCCCAGGCATAGTTTTAGTTTGGGCACTGCGAGAAATGGTCTATTCATGCCTTGATCAGGTTTGTAATTTTTCACACTAAAACGCAGAGTTCAAAATGACACATTCAAGGTACGTGGGGCAAAGGGATGCTAGTTAAGCGGAGGTATAAAAACATCTGAGCCTCACAGTGGGGCAACGTTACCCCTACTGCTTCCCACAGCACACAGCCAGGCGAGGAAGCCAAGTCGGCCACCACAGCTCCGTGTAGCAGAAGGAACCTAACCATTGCCCAGCGAGGAAAGGAAGGCCGAGGGCTATGGAGAACACCCGGATCTCTGGATCCAGAGACAAACTCAGGAAAGAGCAACCAGCGTCCCCGCCAGGCTTCAAGCCAGGTCAGTGAGGACTGGGTCCCCGAGTGTTGAGCCAAGGCACCAACAGCCCCCTGACACCCAAGGTTGGTTTCCAAGGCAATGGCTGGAGTCTGTCCTCCTCCTAGGGACTTAGAGAGCGTCGAGGACAGAAAGGGGAAAACCTGCCCTTGCCAGGAGACACGCGGGAAGGGTCCCTGTCCGCTGAGAGCAGTGGGCACACCCCGCGCGGCGAGCAGCCTGGCACAGACTGGCCCGGGAGTGGCGAGCAGGCAGGCGGCGGAGAGGGGCCTTCTTACCTGCTTTCCTGAACTGCTCGTTGCCCTGCTCCTTTAGACGGGTGCTCTCTTCTCTTCTTTTCTGAGCGAGACCAGAGAATCTCAATTATCACACCGTTATCACAAGTGAGCAAAGAGCTCAGCCTCTTACACATCAGCCCGGTTAGCATACTCCAGCGTTTTTCCTTGTAACTAAAAAGATGTTTCTCAGGAGGCCAGAGCAATCATACAGTGAGTAGGGTGCTTGCCTTGCATGGCCAACTGGGTATGATCCCCGACACCCCGGCTGCCAGAAGGGATCCCTGAGCACTGGGCTAAGAGTAAGCCAGCCCTGAGCACCGATGGGACGTGGCCCCAAACCCCAAGCATGTTACTTAGTTGCTGGTGTTGCAGACTGAGCACAGATGCTCAGTACTCCCCGAGCTCGGCACTCTAGTCTCGGTGCTCACGCTTGGCTCCAGTGGGGCTGGAGGTGCTCGGACTGCACTCAATGCATGGGCAGCACCACTGGAACTCGACACCACAGACTTGCAAGGCAGGAGCTTTCAGTCACTGGGAAGTTCCAGGCCGCTGAGTTAACTTTTGGGAGCTGGGTCAGTTTTATCCACACCTCTAACATACAGAGGTTAGAGACACAGTGATTTAGCCACTTGATTGCCTAGCTAATCACCTGCATCCGTTGCGTATATGTGTGTGTGTGTGTGTGTGTGTGGCGTTGGGGGGGGGGATGGCCCCTCCTAGTAGTGCCCAGGGGTCCATATGCAGTGCCCGTGATCAAACCAGGCCTGGCTACATGCAAGGCAGGCTTCTTACCCCCAGTACTAGCTCTTTGGCCACTCAATTGCATCTTGATATTTAAAACACAAACCGGATAAGAGAGAGTTCTTTTTTTTTCAAATTATAGTTTATGCAATACAGCTAGAACAGTTTACAGTTTATGGTATTCAAGTACAGAGAGGTCAACGGGCTGAAGACACGCTCTGCCCACAGGAGATCCAGGTCTGACCCTCATCATCACAGGGTCCCTTAAGTACCACTTAAAGTGATGCCCAAGTGCCACCAGGTGTGGCCCTAAGACCAAAATAAAAATAAGGAAAATATAACAACACCCAGTCTTTCTAGATTTCTATCTTTTGCATGGAATGGGAATTCGGAAGTCATTTACTTCCTTTTTTTTTTTAAAAAAAACTTCTTTATTGAATCACTGTGAGACAGACCCTTACAAAGCTGTTCATGATTAAGTTTCAGTCATACAATGTTCCAACACCCATCCCTCTGCCAGCGTAATTTCCCAGCACCAGTGTCCCCAGGTTCCCTCCCATCGCCCCCACCCCCACCTGCCTCTAAGGCAGTCTCTCTCTCTCTCTTTCTCTCTCTCTCTCCTCTTCCCCACCCCTGCCCAGAACACACAGTTGCGAACACACCGGGATGGGCAGCCCCCACCGTACGCTCAGCTGAGCTGCTCCTTGACGCGTGGCCTTGGAGAAGGCACACAGCTCTCCTGAGCCCGAGGCTTCAGAAGTTTTATGGGACGCCTGTGATCAGGGACGGAAGCTCCCCCACGAGGCGGGCTCGAGAGGCTGCTATTGTTTGGGAACATGTATGCGCTAACAACCTGGCTACACTGGAGGCGTGTCAGGAGGAGACACACACCACGCTGGGTGCACGCTGGGCCGAGCCTCTGCAGGGCCAGGCTAAAGGCTGCTTGGGACTCCAAACCCAACCATCTGTTTTCTGAGCTGCTTCTGACAACACTGAAACCCACAGATGCCCCCTGGCCCCCTCAAGCTCAAAGGCAGAGTCAGCGTCCTCTTGCAGCTCCAACTGGCACTGGCTGTCTCTGCACACCACCGTGTAGCACGGCTGGCAGGGGCGGTCAGCCTGGCCCTGGCTTCGTCCAGGTGGTGCCGGGGCTAGTCCAGGGCCCCACACAGGCAGGGCGCGTGCTCCATGTAAGCCCTGTGAGGCCACCAGCCCTTATTCCTATTTTTTCCACCTTTAAGGGGAGGAGGGACAGACACACACGTCAGCAGTGCCCAGGGGCTCCTCCTGGCAGTGCTCAATTGGCCATGTAGTGCCGGTACCAAACCTGGGCCCTTGCACACACAAAGCCATCGAGCTCTGTCTGTGCCCTGACCCATCCTGGACAGTGCTGCAGTGTAAAAGGGAGCGTGTGGAGAAGGCCAGCGTGCAGCCTGCAGGGGGCAGGCCTGATACCGGCTCAGGCCTCCCGCCCCCTCCGAAGAGAAGAGACCTTCTGAAATGTCTTTCTTTCACTCTTGAAGCCTTCCATGAGAGGAAACACAGCTAGCAGGGTATATATACATACGCAAGAGAAGTATCAAGACTAGAAACCAACGAAAACATCCCCTCTCTGGAGAAATCTTGGAAGCATGCTGATGAGACCAAAGACCTTTCAAGTCCGGCTCCAGAGCAGAAATGCACAGACAGGCTTGGCCCGGGAGGGGGCGGGCGGGGATCATTGGGTGCAGCTGGCAATCTGCCTGTGCTCGGAATCACTCCTGGTGGGGCTGCGGGGACCACCAGGATGCCGGGGAGCCTGCACGCGGCACGTGCTTCACACTTACCATCTCTCCAGCCCCCAACCCACCTCCTTAAAGTCAACAGACAAAGCAGCCGCCAACTGCACCAAGGCTATACCATACCCCTGATCTTTCCAGCGGGGGACCCCTGTGCTGGGGTAGGAGGTATTGCCCACTCTGGGAATGCTGGCTTGGGGCTGGAGAGACAGCACATTTGGTAGGGTACTTGATTTGCACATGATCGACCCAGGTTCGATCCCCTGCAACCCATATACACTCAGGAATTATTTCTGGTGGGGCCTGGGGGAACCCCATATAGGCCCCCGAGTGACCCCTGAGCAAAGAACCATGAGGAATCCCTGACTATTACCAGGTGTGGCCCCCAAACAAAAAAAACAAAAGGAAAAAAATGCTGCTTTACTGTACTCTCAGGATTTTTAACTATCTTATCAGGTAAACTCTTTGTTTGGGGGTCATACATGATCAGCCATGCCTGGGGCTCATTCCTTGCTTGTGTTGGGGGTGGGCCACATGTGGTGCCAGGGGTTGAACCCAGGTGAGCAACTGTCTTACCTACTGTACTATTTTTCTGGCCCACAAGGCAAACTATTTAAAGCAAACAGATTTGTTGAAAAGAGCATGTTACGCTTTCTGTAACCTGCTCCCCAGCGCCAAGGAGGGCTTGAAGACTCAATGTGTGTCTTTATTTTTTTGGGGGGGTGGGGCGGTGCATACCTGGTGATGCTCAGGGATTACTCCTGGCTCTGTACTCAGGAATCGCTCCTGGCAGTGCTTAGGGGACCATATGGGATGCTGGAGATTGAACCCAGTCGGCTGCATGCAAGACAGGTGTCTTACCCACTACCCACTGTACTCTCTGGCCCACAACAACAGTCTTTTGAAGGCAGGTATCAGGGAATAAGAAACTGCAGAGAGCAAACATCTCCCCCCGCCCCCCTTTTGGGTTACACCCGGCATTGCACGGGATTTACTCCTGGCTCATGCACTCAGGAATAACTCTTGGCGGTGCTCGGGGGACCATATGGGATGCTGGGAATAAAACGTGAGTCGGCCGCGTGCAAGGCAAATGCCCTACCCGCTGTACTATCGCTCCAGCCTCGAGAGCAAATGTCTTTAAGCAGAAAAGCCTGGCCAGAACAGAGCTTGAGAATCACAGACTAACCCTCCCTGCCCAGATTAGGGGATGGTTGGAAACATCTGACAAGCCAAGTGGCAGAGACAGGTGGTACAGTGGGTACTGTCTGTCACTCAATGAGATCCCAGCATAGGACCATTAGTTCAGCAGGAAAGGGCACTAGAGGCTGGAGGCCAAGAAAAATCCCTGATAAATTAAGTGATTTAGGGTGCAGGAGAGAACACTCCAGGTTCTGGTTCATGTGTTCCAGCCCTCTGAGCCGTCACCCCACTCTAAAAACCCCAAATTCTTCAGAGATGGGCAACTCATCAAGTTTAACGCCCACCCGTCAATTCTACTTAAATTGGCCCTCACCGCTTTCTGTAACCTGCTCCCCAGCGCCAAGGCACCAGCCACTCCTGTGATCAGGCTCCTGTGTGTGGGCATGCGTGGAGTTAACTGTTTTGGGGGCTGGAGAGACAGGACAGGGTTCCTGCAAATGACCAACCTCAGTTTGATCCCAAGCACCACCGGGAGTGATCCCTGAGCACAGAGCCAGGAGTTAAGTCCTGGGTACCACTAGGTGTGGTTCAAAAACCAGAAAAAGAGGAGCCAGAGTGACAACACAGTGGGCAGGGCATTTGCCTTGCACGCAGCCAACCAGGATTCGACCACATATGGTTCCTGTAGGCTGCCAGGAGTACCACTGGGCATGGCCCCAAAACAAAACCAAAAAAAGGGAAGAGTCTGGTTGGGGTTGTTGTTCAGAGGTAGGGCTCATGGCTTGGATATATGAGGACCTGAGTTTGATCCCTAGCACAGTCAAAGAGAGGAGGAAAAATCAGAAGTCTTTGGAAAACTTCAAACATTAAAATACCAAGAGGCAAAGCCTAGATCCAGGATAAACCCAGAAGGCAGGCCTGCTAAGGACCAGCCTGGGCAGACCACCCCAAAAAGCTCAGGCGCTATTTACAGCTACAAAGTCTGGGCTGGCAAACACACTTCTGAGGCCAACTGGTCCAAGGACGGCATTTCATCTTCAGCTGGAGAATCACAGCCCCGCGGCCCACGAGCAGCCAACACTGGGAGAGCAGCAGCTTCCACAGGTTGTGGAAATGAAGGATTAATGCAATTATCAATATCACGCTGAACATCTCCTTGGAAACAGCTAAAAATAGCACCCTGAGGAGAAAGCTGCACCATCTCCCAGCTGTGCCAAGAGGCGAACTTGATCCCAGGACAAAGACGGGTCGGGTGTGTGTGACGCTCCTGGAGCCGAGGACAGAGTGGGGGTGTGGACTGGTCACTGCACCCGCCAGGGGCCGTGGGCCTCCTGCACCTCACACCGTCCGCAGAGGCTGCGCAGAAAAGCTATGCTGCCGTCAGCTCCACCCGTCAGGGACC